ATCCCCGCCGAGCTACCGGCCCACGTACGAAGGCTTTTATAATGCAATTGCAGAGGTAGACCGGCCGAGGACGTTTGCTCGTTCGCTGTAGCATAAGTACGCATGGTTAAACGCCAAAGTGGACCCGAACGTCGTCCGTCCCCGGGGCGCTGATCTCCCAGGAATCGGATCGACGTCGGTCGACTAGGACGTGATATTCAAAGCGTAAGAAAATCTCAATCAATCCTAGTCCCTTCTTTCAAAGATAATTAAAAGCTAACATCAAAAGAAGACTCAGGTCAACGTAAGTTGACTTATTTTCTGAAATCGGTACAATCATACATACCACTCGTTTGGGCTGTCACGACTTTCGTCTTGATGAGATGTGTTGCCAAGTTTTTTTTTTTTTTTCATTCCGCCCCATACTGACTGGTAACAAGGAATATGAGCACCCCGACTCTCAAGCAGAGTTAGAGCGTCATTGTTTTAATGATGACTTCACTACTTCTCTAACTTTGGTGTGAATGCCCTCTGCAAGTAATTTGGCTACCACCTATACAAGTCAACGACCAGCTCGACCAATCAGACGCTCGATGCTTCGTTAAGATCAGGGACCCACTTTCAAACTTTGTTGGTCACTTTGTCCTCTTGGGCGATAATTACTCTTTCTGTTCCGCGAGTGATGAAGTGCCAACTTTCGACATGAAGATATTCAAGGCAATGCTCCAGTCGCGTCCTTTTGTCAACTAGCCTGATTGTCCTAGGCTTGGACTTCTTATGGTGCAAACCTGTCCGCGAAGGCAATGCCTAGTCGCACTGCGTCCATAGCTAGTGAACACACGAACTGGGCTTCTTGTGGCGCCAGTTCCCTATTCGTCCGTGGCTCCTAAGACGGCCACTAGAAGGGTAAACTATAGCGGTTCTTCTTAATGTGAGCCGCCAAGAACTTAACGCCTTCCGTGAATAGCACACGTCCGTCCTCTAGGAGGTGGTCTGGGATACCCCTCGTCCTCGCCCGAGCGAACCTCGGATCTCAAAAGTCGGGCTGACTCCACCACGACAGCATGGTACCCCCCCGCCTAAGCGGTCCACTCCGAGTCGTTAACAGGGTTGGCCCCTAAGGCAACGAACCCCCGCCTCAGATGCCTTCTAGGGAAAGGAAATGCACTTACCATAGCAGACGGTCAGCCCTCTATCGCCTAACGTCAAGGGCGAACCTAGACGAAGAAGGAGATCACAGAGAAAACAAACATTCAGATGGAAGGGCATAGATAGAGAGGGTCATTCGGGAAAGAATGGGTAACCTCGAGAAAAATCTACGTCCAATTCACTTCTTCTCCTTTATGTGATCGCTCTGTTCCTCGTCGTCTGCTATCTTCCCATCCTTTCAACATGCATGCAAGCAAAAAATAGAAAACAATCATCATCCCATTCACTTTCGCTGACATGATCAAATCTTCATTTTTCAAGCATCCTTCTACTTACCTACACATCAGATCAAACAACAAGTTCAAAGGAAAACAATGCAAACCCATTCTCAAGTCTGACTTTCATTCACACGTGAAAACAAAACACAACTTCCTCTACCTTTTCAGTGAACACTCAAAGAACAGGGTCAAGCAAGTGTGGGTTCACACAGGTGTGAAGAAAAATCTGAGTCATTCAACTGACCTCGAGTGAAGTTGAGATGAACGCGGCTCACTCAAGAGAACCGCGTAAGGTCACGCTCCAGACGAGACAAGCGTCACAATAGCCGTCAACAAAACGATCCACACCACTCCCAGAGATGGTCGCTCGTCACAATATCCTCCTTTCACACAATCGCCTCCCAACAATCTGACGGCGCCTCAGCGTCGCCGTCACACCAACCGCACCACCACGCCGTTGTCGTCAATACTCGAGCACGCCGTCACAAAATGTTCCTCTCAGTCAAGTCAAAATAGGCAGCGCATCCGCGTCACCACTTAGAACGCATTGCCGTCACCGCAAGAGTTCGGCAGCACCACTGCTTCACTACCAAAATCTCAGTGTTGCCGCAGCAACGTCTTCGCATCACCTCATAAAAAATAGTTGTCCGATGCCGCACCGAACGGCCAGTACCTCCCCTATACTTCTTCAAAAGTAGTTGTCGCTGTAAAACGGGTAGCACTTTCGCGCCACTACCAAAATGCACCGCTGCCGTCGCAAAACAAAATGCGCAGCGCCTCTACACCGCCGCCAAAAACCTACTGCCGCTGCCGCACCAAACGGGCAGCACCTCCCGTGTACCGTTTACCGAAAACCTGCCGCCACCGTGCAAAACGGGCAAAGTTTTCCCTGCGCCGCTTGCCAAAACCCTGCCGCCACCGTGCAAAACGGACAGAGTTTCCCCCTCTGCGCCGCTTGCCAAAAATTTGTCGCCGCCACGCTGTGTAGGCAGTACTTCCCCTATACCTCAGAAACTCCAGTTGCCGCGCAGACCATGCAGCGTTTCTCCTCCACCACTGCGATGGTGGCTATGGCTGTGCTTCACAGCTATGGCCCTCCCCCTTTGCAGTCTCCTCCTCAACTCTCTCCCCACTCACTGCAGACCTCCACCAGCAGCACCGCCCCACAACAACAGCCAGCCAGCATTCACTCAAGTGAATGCCTCAACAGCACTGCCACAACTTGTGAGGCTGCTGGGTGGAATGTTGGCTTTAATAGCCAGCCGAGAGCATCTGGGCAGCTGCTTTGCCCACAGCCAGAACTCGGAATGAGGTCTGGCCCTTGATCTAAAACGCGATCAAGGGCCAAAAAGTCAGTTGTTCCCCTAAAGAAACTAAGTTCAGACCTTTGGTAATGCATGTGACCCTCACCCACGGCCAGACGCAGCTTACCAAGGGCTGTACAAAGCCTTTTTAAGCAGACTGTTGAATCCAACAGTCTGCTGTCTTATCAAAGTCCAGATGCTTCTAGACCTGCATCTGGACTGAGGCCGCGGTTAAATCCGCGGCCGTTTTTTTTTTCCCAGCTTTTTCTTCTTCTCCTTTCTTTTTTTTTCTTACCCCCTCGTTTTTTTTTGTACAGGGGCTGCTTGCCGTTCAGAACGAACGGCCGCCCTTCACTTCAC